ACTATATTCAAGCATTCCATTCCAGTTCGTTGAGCGTTGAAAGAGTCAAGAAGCCAGAGGTGGAACCGCGCGCAGATGGCTGCATCATATGAAACACTGACTGGGAGTGCCGCCAAGCCCCCATGCGCGACACTTTTTGTGGGTGCGCGGCTGGATGACATAGGCAGTTATCTGATCCGGTCCCCGAATTGGTGCAGCGCAGCTCCCGCGTGAACCGTTGTAGGCTCAGAAGCATGCGTAATGCATATACAGGTTCAGTTTGTTGGAGGCCACAGTCTGCGCTTTGGTTACGCTAAGAAGCGAACTTATTATCATCAATATTGCTTTTTAAACTTTTTTATACTTTGCATATAATTAGGGGCAGAAGAGCGAAGGCCTTGTTCACAAAACAACATTAATTTGATTTAAAAATTCTCAAGCCTGATGTACAGGTTATCTAGCAAACGTCTACTCTCCCGGCTGAGGCGAACACGAAGTTCGGAGCTGAATGGAGGCACCATTCTCCCCCATAACCCTATAAGCCTAGTTCCAAGACTTTTGATTATTCGTATCTGGCTCTCTTTTTTTATAACCGAGTCTCCTATTTCCTGTCCATTTTTCATCATTATGGTCTGTTTGCTGCTTGGTACGCCCGTTTCTGTGATGTAAGCGTTAACTTTCCCGCTTGCCTATATGTCCGCCGCTATTCGTCGCGCCGCTCCCGAAGAGATATCACATCTGCGTTGGTTTTCCGGTTGTTCCGCATCGTAGTGGTGCGCAGGTTACAGGCCTTCGTCAGGCCCCTGTTCTGTCCTTTCCTCTAGGCGAACTTGCGACGTTGTTAAGAATGGACCCCGACTTTGACTTTAGTTTTGGCGTTACGGAACCTTCTCTTTCAGTCCATAAAACTTTACTTTCACTAAATTCCAATCTCCCTGACTCAAAGTTCAGCATGAGGTAAGGCCACATATGGGTTTGCCATTTCCGCTCATCTAGGTTACAAACGTCTCTAAATTATTTCTACTACCTTTTGTTTTCATGCATTACACATTTTCGTCCCTGTCTGTCTGCCGCTATCTGTCACAGAACTGATCGGCGGACTTTGCAGATGGAGGCACGCATGCCTCCCTCTGATTCTGGTAGCCCCAAATTCACCCATGACTAACTCCTATGGCTAGTTTACGGTAGGTTTTGTAATCGGCCGATTCTTGCAAGTACTTTCTGTGGGCTCAATCTTTCCAGCAGTTTTTCCGCGCGACTGGCGTCCGTGGCGTCAGAGGCCACACTGCCGTGCGCAGTGTGCCCAGTCAACTAGTCAAATCACTAGCCGCATACAAATCTGTAAATTTGCGTTGCTAGTGGAGGGCTAGACAAAGGCAAGTTTGGTATTATTAGCGTAACTGCCTCGATAAAGTTGCATTCGCACATGACTGACTTCCGCTGCTAGTTTTGCTATTTATTGGCCGTTGACAGTATCACATGTAGGCACCATCAGCCCCTGCGTGACTGGCTTCAGTAATGTCGGAGGCCAACTATGCCTCAGTCAGGTAGCGAGATAACTAGCCCCACAAAAGCAACCATCTCTAATCTGCCACTACAGGGCTAGTCAGGTGCTGCTTAGGTGTTGTGAGGGTAAGAGGGCGTTTTTAGAAACCTCTAGAGGGTCGCATTAAATGGGTGACTGTACTCCTTCCACCTTTAACTAAAGGTCTTCGGAGAGTTTAGTCCCATCTATTGACATCTAACGTTAAGACCTAAGGAAATATATGCATAATCACCGGAACTGGAGGAAGGGGAAATACATGGGCTCCCAAAAGAAGTGCGACAAGCTAACTAAGTATAGTTTTCGGATGTTTAGCCTCTGGCCTAGCCTATGAGGTCTGTTCTCGTTCAGCTCCATAAACATGTGGCGCGTATTTACTAGAAGAGCCGTTTTCAGTTTTGAAATGTCTGAAAGAGTATCCGACTCGTTTCTAGACCTGTTGGACTTCGCTTCTTTCTGTGCATGTGTGCCCCTCCCTCCCCAACGAGCTGTTATGCCGCAATGAGCGCACAAGTCCATAATAACCGGTGGGTATTCACCCAGTCCATGGGGGACTCAGTAGACGCTGCTCGCGACGATGGAACTGTCGTATGCGTGTGCGTGTGTGAAGGGCTCAGGAGCACTAAGGAATATATGCCTGAGGTTGACTGTCCTGTGCACATTGCATCCTCCAGAAGCTGTCATCATCGGCCCTAAGAAGCTGTTCTCTTATTTCTTGTTTATGAGCTCTTAATTTGATGGGACCGCGGTTTTGAAGGCAAAACATGTTGCACTCAACCCTTACTTTGGAGGAGATGTTGGGGTGCGTCTGAAAATAAGAACAATTTGTTTTACTTTCTGGAATACTGCAGACGAAAGTACTTCTGGTACTGCCTAACTGTCTATACTTATACTTGTTACGGCTGTGATCATACCTGATTTAGGCGGTCACTGATTGTATTGCCCCTCGCGCAGCGGTCAGTGACAGCAGATCTGGGAAGCCCGACCTACCCACTTCGCTAGTGAACAAGGTCAAATTTCGCAGGTCTAGGAGCCACCTGCCGTCTTTAGAAGTTGTGACAAACCTGGTTTCCAACTGTCCTTCACTTTGTCACCTCCAGCTGCGCAGCGAAGTCATTTTTAGGGAAGTGGAACCGGATTGGTGAGGCAGATGGTGAAATACTTCTCCATTCCACTTTCTTAAATGACCTGAACGACGGATTTATCAGGTTGCCCGTCAGGGCTGTGTTCATTCGTGAATATTTTTCGGAATAGGGCATCATTGTTTGATGTGGACGCTCATGGTATAATGTTTCTAGGACCGGTTTCTATGATCTCGGCCTCCCAGAAGAGAAGTCAGTATTGTTTCCTGTTAACGCGGTACGACTTTGGTCTAAGAGACTTTCAACGACGT